TTATTTATATTTATATATATAAATATATATATATAAATATATATATATTTTAGTTTAAAGCGCGCACGCAACGGTGAATAGTGGGTATGTTGCTTCACACTTGCTCACAGTAGTTTGCAAATGAGTTTAGCTGGCTAATCGCCTGGCATTTGGGATCAGGTAGAACATAAGTTTAGTCGATAATTGTGGAGTGCGCCTACCTGATGAGTTCGGAAAATGGTAAAACCAGTCATGGGTTGTCGAAAATTTCTCATCACTATTACAAGTAGTCTTTATAGGGAACTGTTTGTTTTTGTCTGCAAGTGAATGAAAGTTACTTACAAGTGCACCTGTTTACCAAAAAATTACAGCACAAGTTATATAAGTTTACTGTTTAAGTATTATACTTGATAACCGCCTTAATCTTCAAGCAGATACCTAATCACATAGATAGATGGATGGATAGATAGATATAGATTATAGATATAGATATAGATATAGAAATCTGGGCACGCCAGTGCAGTGATATTCCATTAAAATCCCTCGTCGTTTCGGTCAGACTGAGCTAAATCTTACGGAATTCAGGTGTTTTGAAAATCAGCCGATTTTTTTCTGTCGTAAAAGGGTTCCTCAGAAGCAAGGAAGCACCATTGTAGACACACAAATAGGGAACAGGAAAGTATTCAGCTGCAGTGCACTGCTATTTCATGGTTTAGTTTTCTGAAGACTACACAGCAGTCTACTGATGGTTAGAATACGACACTAGTCCACAAACGGGTAATATTTTTCAGCACAAATGAGTAGGGAACTCAAACTTTGAATAATTTTCTGAACACAGTAGTCCATCTTATTTACGAATGGACTGGGTATTCCTGGAAACACCCTCTGTCATTTTGCTAAAGTATAGAAATCCATGATATTCTGCAGCGAGTGCCATCTTTTTGGAAGAAAGCCATATTGTCACTAACCACAATCGTGCACATCCACAGGGCCACACTAGATGAACAACATTTATAGGAATGATTCCAATATAGGGACGAATGATTCAAATCAAAGTTGCCGGTGTCACGGCAGTACATTTTGCTGTTTGCCGTGCAGACGGTTCAGTACTTAGTGAAAAAATGAGTACTTGAGTTGATGCCCAGTATAACAGTTCTTCACTGATTCACCACGAGATACTTACGTCTATTACGGGTTGTGGAAGCCTGTCAATTTGGAGTTGATCTAGACTAGAGTGATCACTCCTAGCTCTTTTTGGATCATTTCACCGAGTTACAAGCTTATGCCAGACAACCGGTAGAACTTTACACAGCATAAATTAATTTTCGTATTGTTTTCAATCTTGAGATAGACTACGGGCCTGCAGTTAATGGTTGGCCCTTTCAATAATGACATTCTGCACTGAAAAGCTGGAAGACACTGTGCAGCTGTTTTATCGTCATTCGGAAACTGCAACCGAACTCAGAGAGTTTCTAACCCGCAACCCACCCGACAAATGTTAAGCTCTTAAATGTTCAGCCACCGGCAGCCAAATGAGTAGTGTGATTTGCTCTCAGACAAGCTATAACGCCACCCATCCTCCAAGCCATATTTCATTGTGACTTATTGACAATCTCCCAAAGGAGGATGCTTCCGCTCATTGACTTGATTCACGTAGCCATTCATTTATGCTGTATACAATTACTTAAGATTAGTAGGGGTCAACCGAATTATAGGATAGGGCACAAATAAACAGCAAAATGCAAACTAATGGTCGGTCTTATAATAAAGTTTATTTTCCCATTGGATCGTTGACTTAACAAAATGTCTGACTGATCCTTGGATTTACGCATTTTTGAATAAATATAGATATTTGAGTGAAATTCAAGATCTTCAATGATCGACCCAGAATACTGCATCATTATTATGAGACAAGCTGAGTAAAAAAACTACTACTAATTATTCTGTAAGTTGTTCTGTCATTGAGAAAGATACTCCGGTCGGGCAACAAACCCTAAATCCTTGTACAAAAAAGAACCCAACACAAAAGCACTCACTTGTAAATTTCGGTCCAATAATATGGCGGCCACGACGAACATATTGCCCACAATTGTTCCAATGATTATAAAACCCAACATGAGTGCAGTGATCGCAATATGTGCTGTTCCGTACAGCGGTTCAAATCGGATGGGTTGCGATACTGTCACATTATCCGGTTGCATATTCTACAATGCTGATCACCAAATCCGAATGAATGTGGCGGACCTAGCAGTATGCATGAATCCGAATTTAATGCATCAGATTATTGGTGTATTTGTCAGCAGAAAAAAATCGCCAAAGGTGCATGACAGTATCCCCTATATTGTCTGGACATGATCTGTGTTGTTTACCCATTAGTTATTTCATTCTAATGCAGCAGAATTGTCGTCCGTTCAAATACCTTGTTGAACGGGATCTCGGGGCGTATGCACACACGTGTGTGTGTGTGTTTTTACTGCCGGGCCAATCAGGTTACAGTGACAGTTTGGGACGTCAACAGCTGTTTTTTCGGTTTGTATCCCAGAGACGGCGGGTCCGTTGTCATTGCTCTTCATGCTGCTGTTGCGTTTTGTTTACCGATTGCGTTGTTGACACAATTTGTCCGAAGGTTTGCTGTCTAAGTCAGTGGATGAGTGTTGATGGGTTGTTTTGTGCTTCAACGACAATAAAAATATTGTTGGTTTAACTCCACCAAGAACAAGAAGAACAAGATGCACTTTAACTGACAGCCTCTTGTGACAGAATGTCACATGAAGTTGAAAAGAATGGAAGGCTAGGGCGCGCCGGACCTTCGCAATCTTTAGCCAACAGACTAAACGTTTAACCGAATTCGTAGATGTTTCCCATCACTCGCTGTTGGACTAACCTGATTGGAGCTACTGTGTAAACGTGCAGGACTGAAAGCTGGTTAATTCTGCCTAATGTCCCCAAAAGTGAGATTTCGACGCCCGGCCTTCAACATCGTCACGAACTGAAGTACTCCGAAAAAGGACAGGCTTCGAACGTCGCAAGTTTGGCAAGTGGCGCCGCGAAAGTGAGTATGTGGTGATTACCCATCTCTGTACGTTTTAGCATTGGATGGGTGATCCATGCTGAGTTATATATAAGTGATGTATGTCGCTAACAAACGAAATTCAAAGTCAACTGTGGCGTCCCATTTGGTATCCTGACTGAAAATTCACTAAGAAGTAAAAAAATTGTAAATTATCTGAGGGTATTTGTGACACAGTCGGCAATCACTGCGTTTAGTATAAGCATATTCGTGGGCAGCTCACTCACAGTGTTCCCCTGATTAGAGCAAAGTTCACAGAATGTGAGAAAACTGGTTCATAGCCTGAATCGCTGCATCTTGTTAGCTCCGCTTTTTCTCGAAATGTGGCGACTGGTTGTATGGTACATGTCTGATATGATGATTAACTTGTCTGACTTACATAGAAGGTTCACAGATTCGCATTCATGAGGGGTGGTTGGCGGTCAACATGCATAAGATCTACGGGATGTAATATAAACTGACGTGAAGAAAATTCGTTTGTCCTCTCTCTACAGTGGAAAATGTTAGTAGTTCAGGTAGCCTAGATGGTCGCTTGTTTGACTGCATAACCACCAACATATCGCTACGCTCCACCACGCGCCCTAACAACGCACTGTTGATGTCACGTCAATTGGTGACAAAACGTTTGCAAACAAATTGCCGAGCTCAGTAAACAAACGCACAACCAGTTAACCATGATCGCCTTTCGCACTAAGTATGCGGATAGGTATCGCTGGTTTCTGCCCAAATGTCATTGGATTTCGATTGGAAACAGTGGCTAATTCGATTGTGTGGCTACCGATCTCTTGAAGGATCCGAAAGCAGCAGACGTGTTCCCTCCAAGAGATTTAGAACCCGATTGTTGAAAGATATCAGTTGCATTATCCATTCCACCTTTACACAGCACTAATTGTGAAGTTTTTGAAAACTCTCTGACAGTCCTTGATCGCTTTTGACCGTCTTCTGGCTAGTCGGATGGGTACGATCCCCCAGTTTCCGCCAAATTTATGCTCTATCTACATCAAGGTTTCTGCGCAACTTGCAAGATACCTTCCTTTGCACACCAGTTCGATTTTGCTCATTTGAATTCCAGCTGAATCTCTCTGAAAATAAACTTATCTGAAGAGGATCAAAAAAGGCGAAACTAGTCCTAGGCTGTTGCAGATTTTTCAGTAATCTCCTAAGTACCATTCCTCTGAGAAAATATATTGCGATATCAGGCAAATCAAGCCAAATGAAACCTGAGGCTGCCATTGTGCAGCACACCACCATAAAGGAGTGGTTCAGCCGGGATTAAGCTGAGTCTTCGGTCAAAACGTAACTAGTGTGCAAACGGTGTATTTCACAAAAAATTACTTGTTTTGAATTATTCAGCCATCCCAAATGACTTATTTATTTACTCGCTCAAGTAATTAGTTGATTAATTATTTCACGTGAAAGAAACTTTGTAACTTGTATCATACACTTGTTTCATGCTACTTAGATAATTCTTACCACACTTATGCTTCGTATTATTCACTAAACGTCCCCTTACTGCTAACTATCGTCGTTATATTTGTGATTCCACGTAATCTAACCTCACATTTTTCGACAGTCCGGTACTATTTTTGTACTTCGCAATCCATACTGGGTACAATTAATGTCCCTAATGTGCCACCCGTGTAGGACGCTCACAAATCAGTCAGGTCCATCCAGCACGCAGAGCTTCCTTGCACATCAAATCTTGAGAGCAGCGAACGGCAGAAACAAACTTGGTTGTTTTGCAACTGGGTATACACCGGCCTGTTCAGTCACTCTTGCGCATGTATTCCGCAAATCAGAGCTATCGTGTACAGGTCAAGCCTTAGTAAAACTGACTTTGAGGTTCCTTCTGTCACCTTCGTTTTTATATTTTACAATAACTCATTATTCTGTGACGCCTCAATATCATGATAAACTACTCCGACGATATCTCTTTGGTGAAGCCTACTCTGTAGATGAGGTAGATGTGGGTTGTATTTTCCTTGGTTCTGTTTTGAAAAAGCATATTGAAATTTTGTTCTCACATGGGTGTAACAGGCACTTGAACGATGTGAAATTACCTCGACGTCTGTTATACTTTGGGATCATATTCAATATCAGGAATTTCAGCTCCTCCTTCCCCGGAATCATTTTGACATGATTTCGAGTGGGATAGCGATTTGGATTTCAGAAATCAAATCCATCTTTTAGGCATGGGCACCAGAGCAACGCGGCTTCCTAAATTTAGGTTGAGCACTACCAGCCTGCTTGCAGCAATGAAAATTCAAGCCATAGATCCAGAGGATTGTCTTACTGTTTTTGCCGCTTTTGTTCTCTATGGTGCCGCATTTGATGAGGTTCTCCAAAAACGGTTTCCTGCCATCAACTTTTCGCTAAACCCAATAGATGGCTGACTGACTACCAGATGACGCCATAATTACTGCTACCTATTTATGGGACGCTTATTAATTTAATTAATTAATTAACTGCTAACTTAATCAATTAATTAACCTTGAAACATGGACGATTGTTAGTTTTTCACCTCAATAAAAGGGAATTTTGATACTGGGGTAATACTTAAGGCATGAGAAACAGAGTCAGCAATATTTTCGATGGAAGTGCCATACCTCGAAGTCTACAGGGATTCAGTATGTACATTTTTACCCACATGATGCAGAGATACGACCTAACCGGAAGAAGATCTTGGCGAATATGTAAAGGATATTTTCAACATTTGGCTAATTATTAGCTTGTGAGCACCGGCTGAGTACGTAGGGTCGATAAATCTGCATCTTAATCCGTTGAACATGATGCTAGTGATAGTGGTTAATGGGAAGAAAAGTTTGCAGGAGAGGATTCTTCAAGCGAGCAGAAAGCCCAGTTTCAAAAACAGCTTGTACAGACTTGTGAACTGAGGTACAGAAGTAAACGGCCGTTTGTACGTGTTAATGGATTTCTCTCAGAAACTGATTATCTGTGTGGAATTGCGTCACTCCGTTCTTCAGGCTTTTACCATATCACTCTGTACTCTCCATCTTGACTGACTGTTATTATTGCCAGACTCAGATTGTACTTCTGTGGTTTTTCTGGCCTGCTGAAAATTGAGGTTGATGATATCAGATGTCGCATTCGAATGCTTTACGCCTCTGGTAACATATCTCCTGTCTCTCTTGCAGAAGCTCTCTTTGCAGAAGGCTCCTCAGACCTATTGGTTGTTTCTGAAACAAATCTCGGCATGATCATTCGTGACTGTTCTCGCTTCAAACATCTTGAACTAAAAGAGCATCTTCCCCAAGGTGTTCTCAAAATATCACTGATGTGCTACTTGATGCCATAGTTGTAGTCCTATACTTGGTCTCTTTTTAAGAGATGAAGTCCTCGAGATTGTCATAACGTAAATTAGTTTGATTCAGGTGGATGATGTTTCTAGTGGCAGAATTAGGAAACTATTTACGGTTTTTAATCCTTTCCTGTGCTACTTTTCACTAACGTTTTGTGGTTTCAAAGGGGATATAAGTTGGTATGGTGATTCCGAAGCACCCGTTGTAAAAGTCACCACCGTGATGCACCTAGGCCATGAGGTATTCCTTTATCAGAGGATTAACCCAAAGCAAAGCTAGAATCTAATAGGACGGAAACGCTCACGTTTTTCTCATTTGAAAAGAAGAATTCCTGTCACCTTTTCTACATTCGGAAAAATATATGTTCTTGCATAAACCTCTGAACACGTGGTCTCTGGCTAAATAATTCTTCAAATTAGCATTCGTTTTGAATTATGTTCAGGAACTGGCAAGTTGCAATAACCTATGTATTCATACGTTTACTTTTACTTTGTCCTGCTTTGCTGACACCTTATGGCCTTGGTTATTTCGGTGGAAGATAGTCGGTACCGAGCTCAATAGCAAAAAGAACCCACTTTCATTCAGTATGAATTTATCCATTCTCATAAATGCGTCAACCTGATGACCGGCTGAAGAAATGCCTGCTTTTTGACACCGTTATCATTGATGCTTCCGAAATTTACTGTTTACCAGTGCATGGAAATCAACTACAGCTCACACACAGAAGTTCATCCGGTGACTTTCCAAAAGCAAGAGGACTAATATACAATTCCGAGAGATGTTGCACCTCAGCTTCCCTCTTGCTTTGGTGGAAATTCAAAAAACAAGACCAATTTGTCGGAAGTAGACGTAAGTACATGATAGGCACCTAGGGTACTTCTGACAGACAATACGGAGTTTTTATGAATGTAGTGCTACAGTGAGACATTGGTCACCTTCTTTCAAAGTTTTCTATCGGGAGAGATTCGTGATATCTATGGTTATCTGTTATCTGTAAACTCAGCAACATTCAAGTCAGGAATCTGCCTGTATTTTACTGTTTTCTCTCCAGAATGAAATACAGACATATCACTGACTGAAAATAAGTGGCTCACTGGTTGGGGCTGGAACTTACTAACCAGATGATTCATGCTTTCAACCACACTGCGGAATCTAGACAGCTCTTTTCTAGGTTCACTGACTGAGGCACGAACACACTGACCGAAAAATCTGTGGTTCGAGTCCAACATTGGGATCTCTATTATTCCAGGCAACCTGCCTTCATCTCAACCCTCGGGTTTGATGGTAAAGCTGGGCACCGAAAACATGCTATAGCTGAACGACTGGTTAATTATTTGATTGGTGGATTGATTGGCTGACTGACTGACCGATTGATTGATTGATTGATTGATTGATGATTGATTGATTGATTGATTGATTGATTGATTGATTGATTGATTGATTGATTGATTGATTGATTGATTGATTGATTGATTTGATTATTGATTGATTGATTGATTGATCCCCTTAAGTGTAATACAGTTGTAGATTAGTTGTTATACAAATATATATTTACCTCTAATTTGAAACAACTGTATATCCCTCAGTGGGTTAAATAACGCAGTCAAAAGACAGAGATATTTTGTGTGCAGTTCTCAGAAAAACAAGAACACTAAATAGATTTTTCCGAGTTCTATGAAACGGTCAGTGATGTAGTCACACAGGGATTGATAAATAGAAATGGCATAGCTGTTATATCCAGGTTATCCTGCATGGAAAATCTTGTTACAGTTGGGCTTGGAGTGAAGGCTTGAATCGACTGATTGTAAAAATTCCATCGTATATTAGGTGCAACGAGTGAACAGCCCAGGTCAAATCAACAAGATAATCTGTGACCATAAGATGTTTGTCCATCGTTAACTGCGACTTCTTACGATCGTACAAATTTACCGAGCTTCGGTCTATCATTAGACTCCGGACTCAAGTAGGAACGTGCTCCCTTTTTCTAACAGTGGAACATCTACCGGTACTGTCTACGTTAATTTGACTACAATTAAATGCACAGTTAAATTCGGTTACGATAAATTTCGTTCATTATATTTAAGGTGAGGTTAACCCTTGAGTTATGCTTGAGACCCGGATTGGTACGTTCGTTAGGCGTTCAGTCGTCTGAGCAGTTGAGGTATCTCCTATGAAAATCAGATTCATGAATACAGCTTTTTTTTGGTTCAGTGGCACAGTTGAGCGGTTTTGGTCATATGTTACTGTCTTTCGATAACCGTTCTGCCACAGGGTATTTATGGACAGCTAAAGTAAGCTCAAAAATCTAGCGTGCGTGTCCCGTGTGGTGATGAGAAGAAAGATCTGATGCTATCACTTTTCTGCTCTCAGTGTTTGAAGCTTGAGGAATTGTTATGCTGCCCCATCATACAGAATTTTCTCTAAATACTCTATTTAAAAGACCACAATTTCCCTCCGGAACCAAGGCTTAAAACAGATCAGAGCTCGGGAGAGCTAACCGACCATAAGCTGCCGCAGTCAACTATTGGCGAGTTTTTCGGTCACGGATCAGCTATTTTATCCACTCTGTTCACTCTGTTCATCCACTAGATCCCGCATCGATAGAACCCTAAAAATCATTCTATTCAAGCCTTTACTGTATCCAAAAGAAAACTGCTCAACCACCTGGTATACCTGGGCGTGCCATGTACACCATTTCTCTTTAATGACTGATCAGTCAGTGACAATGTGACTGCCTATATTTCGTAGAGAGTATCGTGTCTGTTTTGTTTGGTGTTGTTAATTTGGTGCTAACGAGCCGATATGCAATGCGTACAGCTGTCTTATTCAATCTTCTAGATATCAAATACAAACCCGATATGACGGACCATAGACCTGTGTGCTATGAGGAACTAACTAATTATTCGCGAAACCTCATTAACTGAGGCAAGTATACTGTACTTCCTCCTGTCTTTTTGAGATTTCCCTGCTCGATCGCTTCCTCTGGATCTGTTTCCTGGTCGTCCACCAATTTACTGAGAGTTAAGGTACATTAGCTGCGATTCGACTGCCAACCTTAAATAACTGAGTGATCATTTTTTACAAATAGTTACAAATTGTTCAACTAGAGCAGATGTGGATTCACACCAATTCGAACGTAAACCAACAGCAAGAGGATCATTTTTCACCTCTTGAAAAGGTTTTACGAGCTTTTACTAATCTACTTTGAAGAAATTGTGCGCTTAAAGTCCTGCCAATTCATTCTTTTTTCCACTGATATTGACTGTTGCGTCAACGAAGTCAGCATTGTAAAGTATCCTTTGCATTTTCCGAACAGTGTAAACGCTTGTCGTCTTATCTTCACTGAATAAGAACCTCTTATTTCTCGAGATTAGATCGCCTAAAGAACAAAACACGGCTTCTGAACGTTTCAAGCTAATGTTGATTCACTCGATGTCCCGGTCGCATCAATCCACTCTGGTTTCCGCAAAAGGAAAGCCTTCGTCAAAATACACCTGGTTTCATTCGCGTTCCTAGGTCGCACGATTAGGTAAGGTTAGAGGAACGTTCTGTGGTCTGTGACAATCACCCTAATGAAAGAATCTGCTTTCTACTGACGTTTTGATCAGGGGCTTGGAAGTGTCTACTACCTTTAACTGCCAACTGTTTGGACAGTGCAATAGTGGTCCCGCGAAGTCACCTGTACTCCGAGCTCTGGCAGACACACCGTCTTCTCCAATTCCGTCTAGTAAGTGGCTCCTGAAACCTAATAAAGTTTTTCTCGAGCGATGCGCTTTTCATTTCAACTGAACAGCAAGACGAAACTTCACACCGTTACAAAGATCTCAATGTGGAATTTACGCTACAGTAAATAAATTAGAATAGGTGCTATGATTTTACCGATCTTTGTGTACCAAAAAATCGGTAAATCCAAATAATTAGACTCTTATTAAGCACATCCCAATCGTAGCACTTACTTGAAACGATCGAACTGAACTTGTCCTTATAGGAGGATTGCATTTATGGCCTGACTCGATTATCCACTCACTCCAAGCCAACGTGTACTGCTGCCACTTTCTCACAGTTGACTTGATCAAATTGAAGATTCAACACTCCTCTATAAAAACTATTCTACATTATCTATAAAGAACTTTAGTAGGTATGCAACAATTACGGCGTCAATACGACATGTCACATGGGCCACGACGGAAGTCGATGTCATACAAAAACCGTGTCCCGACGGATAAACATGTACACCACATGGACATAATCTAACGCTCGCGCTGTCCGAAAATTTACACGCCGGACACGTTTTGGGAAACCTTACACACAAATGAGTAACATGCAGGACAGACCCGATATCCAACTAGGAAAATTAAAATATCTTGAAAATCTGTAAAAATATTTTTTTACTGACTTTCGTGCCTCGAAGGAGGAGTATCAAACTGATTTTCCAACTGCTCACCCATTTCAGCATGAACTAATTTCACATAGGCGTCTTCCATTTGCTAAAGCCCTTGCAAGTAGCTTATGCTTCTACAGCATAAACTGCAAAACTGGAGAGTACTTGTTAGGTATGTTGTCGTTCGCATCAGTGCTTTCCAGTTCTAGCATTGAAATTGGAGGCCAACCACGGATAACCAGTCCCAGTAAATGTACTAAGGCCCTTGCAAGCAGCTTATGCTTCTAGAGCACAAACTGCAAAACTGGAGAGTACTTGTTAAGTATGTTGTTGTCATTTGCATCAGTGTTTTCCAGTTCTGGCATTGAAATTTGAGGCCAATCACGGATAACCAGTCCGAGTTTCCTTCAAAATGTCCAGGTCATGCATAGGTGCTAATCGCATACCGAACTCGAACCAAGCCACGCCTGGTTGTAACTGCACAAAACGGCATCGTTATTTGATCATATGAATCTATTTTTCATTCCTCATCGGGATTTCCGTGGTTTCCATTCAGTCTTGAAACCCGGTACGTCGGATTACTTTATCTAATTTGGAGAAAACCAATTCCACCGTGTCGCTCGGGGGGGTTCTATGGTTACTTAAATCAAACCAGATTGTTTGTGGTTCGGAAACTTACAAATTTTTAACAACTTTTGAAGTACAATCGTATCCACACTTGTACTGGTGTGACGCTGTCCCATCGACCGTAGGGTGTTCATGCGCCGTCATTCAAGAGGAGGCTTCTAGGGGCAGGGTATTCGAAAGCAGCTAATGCATCTCGACTGAATATTGAGCATAAAAAACCCAAAATGATCATTTTGAATTCACTACTAAAAGGCTCCAATAAACGCGAATGGATGTCAGGTCTTTACTACTTGTACATGTGAGCGAGTTATCTTCTGATGATGTACTGCAAGATCGAAGAGAAATGGCTCAACTGATCAGCAGCAACACAAAGGAAAGGGAACAAATATGTTGTAACGTCGACAGATAAAGGATAAGCAAGGTCAGAAAAATTCTAAAATTGGATTACAGATCCTAACAAGCAGGTTCATAATGACTTCGATTAATACGTACTTAAACAGCACATCTGCCAATATAGATACACAGATACGTTGTGGAAAATGTGTATCGGGCGTGTGTTGGGTGATAACTTCATTTCGCGAATGTCACGAGATCATATGATCTGCTACGGAAGCTGAAGGGACGGCCAGTTTCTGGACAGATTGTAGAGTCTTCCAAAGATGAGTGCTTCCTTAAAGCAGTTCGGTCCCACTATTTTAGTACTGCTTCCAGGATAGAACTTCGAGTAATTGTACGGTCTCTCCTGGTGATGAACAGATATTAGTACAGGTAATCGCAGAAAGGTAGCTTCATTCTGGGGCGACGCACATGGAAGCAACTATCCAAATAGCATAGTGTTTCTTATTACATCTAAACTCTCTGGGAAACACACGTTTCAAATGATTTGATAGTGTGCGGAGGGTCAGAAAGCCGTCAAATGACTGACGCTTCAAGTGAGCACTGAGATCTTCAGACCGATTGGAAAACGTCATAAAGGAGAGATGGAGCTGGACTCCAGGTAAGTCTCTCGTGAAGCCAGACTTGTTTGTAGATCACTGTATTTTGCTAACTTCGTGCGACTTGTGTTCAAATAAAATATAAGGTTGACGAAAACTCGAGAATTGCGCCAACCTGATGAACTCCGAGAAGGGCGAAATCGGTGGTGTGCTATCAAAGAATTTTTCAGTAGCCTTACGAGTATTTGTGTTACGTCCAAAACGGAGTACATTTAAAGCGGAATATGAAATACCTGCTGTCAGGTTATAGAAAATAAACCCTGAAGTTGGAGAACATCTTAATCAAGTAGACCTATTGCAGCTCTCCCAGTATTTGATGTACGCCTATTGTTCTTCTTCGGTGTTGACAGAGGGACATGGCGAACGAACAAATACTTGTTTGATTAAGTCATGCTAATCAAAAGCTTCCGGATTCCACAGGACTTCTCAAAGTAATACATGATGTCGGCAACTTTATTAGCGTCACCAGTTTTTGCGGCTCTGTCCTGACCATCCGGCTCGAAATAGGTTATTCGTATTTGAAATGATTCTCCCCCGTTTATCGAAGTGCTCTGCCGAATTTCAGAAAAATTGGATTGATAGGTAAGAATTGCAAAGGCTAGAATTTTGTGGGCGAAACACCCAAACTTTTAAATTATTGCAACTTACCACAGAACGTACCACATAAGCAAAAGCTCCTTAGTAGACATGTGGCTGCCCGACAACTCGGACAATGAGAACTCAATTTCTCATTTGTCTGCGTCAAGCAAAAATGCACTGGCTAAATGACGCTTGATTCTAACCGCGAATTGTGCAACATCTTTCCCCCTTTATTCTGCCACACGTTACTTGTTCCGAAGATGAATGTAGGCATAATCTTATTACAATTTTTTTACTTACTTTTCAACCTCCTGTGTTTGAAGACCCATGTACCCCCGCTCTTTTTCCTAAACGCTGTCTGGCTGAAGTACAATATATAATGACACGATATGAGAAAAGGCTTTTCGTTTCTATGGTCTGTGATATCCTCTGCTGTCTCTACAGTCACCTTATTCCTAGTACGACTGTACATGTGTGCGCCTATACAACATGTACCTTGTGTTTTAGGTAACTTTTTAAAACTGCATTTTTCGAAATCGCAAACAATCAAATTCTCGTCATAAAGTGAAGCCAATCTGTGCTTGAAAGCCAAAACCTCTGTACAGTTTGTTCCTCCTTGTTTAAGAATCATCTGCAATTTGCATTTCACAAGACTCCAGCGAGATTTTATAGTCGGACTGTCCTTGCTGGCATTTGCAGACTATACCTTCTGCCACAAGCGGCAATCTGATCGGTTCTCACGTAGGCAGGATGGAGCGCCACTCATCCATCTGTTACATACTCCAGATCACTTTTTCACATGTTAACTGGATCTTGGAGTGACGATTGTTCAGATTTATGCTCCACGGCACTTACGAATTACTGCTGTACTTCTGTTATCAACAAACAACAGTTTGTGAACTGTCGGCAGCACGCGGTTGAAAGTCTGGGATAAAAAAATCACAGGTAATTCCATATTTCTTTCCAGTTACAAACATGGGGTAAGTGGAACAGCAAAAAATAATGGATGCGTTACAGATTGTCATAAATAACCATATACTCAGCGCCAACATTGGAATACGTAACTGCTTGAAACCGAGGTCTTCTGTGAAGAACACATTGGTTCCTGGTGAACACCAGTTGCAAATGAACCCAAGAGCAAACACAGGATTACCCCCAATATTTTACGTCTTTTCGGAATCTAATGGAGCAAAGGCACTCTGACTTTCACCCCATTGACAATGTCATCCCCATTTAATTGCCAATAAATGGCACTCATTAAACACCTGGCATGATGCCGTGAAAGCTCTCAAAACCTCATCAAAATGTTTGTCTTCAAAAAGCTACTGATTCATTAAGCGATTCGTGCACCTGGCTGAGAAACCGAAATTAAATATGTCTCATATTTTCATGTGTAAAACAAACTAGCCCTTCTGTCGGCCCTTAAAAGAGCCCCCCTTTGCAGGCGAAATGAAAATACTTGGGAAACTGGTCGCAGATCACTAATTCCTCAACCCGGTTTCGAAACATTCAGAGCATGTATTTTTGCAAGCATATTACTGTGAGCTAAATACTAAGATGCTGGCAGCCTCATAGTTTGATGCTCGTAGTTGTTTAACTGATTGAGGGGAGAAATTCCCCCTTCTGTGAATGGAAAGATTCAACTAACTATAGCTTTTAAGTTAGAGTTGGACCCTTGATGAGGCCACCCGCCAGGAAGACCATCACAGATGGCCAAATTATGACGTTGAACACATGTTCCAATCTACACAAAATAGGTTAAAACTAATCTAATCATACTATTGTGAACCTCTGGGCTCCGCCCGTCATCAACAGGTCAAACGGAGTAATTGAAAGTCGATGACTAACAGCTTTTAAATTAGTCCTATGATAAGTATCTTAAGTTCGTATTAATTTAAAGTATTTTTCGGCCGTCAGTATACATCGTGCAAATCTGTATGGCATTTACAAAATCAATAAAAAATGTCATGAATCAGTCCATTTAAAAATAAAAAGACAAATTCGTCAACTTATCGAGTAACTTTCTCCGATCTCTTGGTGATTCCACTGAAATTAATCAGCTGCGAGTTTTCACAAGTTTTAAGATCCAGATGACTTTATTTATTTCCATCACTCCATCGTATTTGTCGTCTGTAGGTTCTTTTAATTTTTTTGCCTTATTGTCCTTTTTATAATTACCAGTTCTTAAGCAACAAAAAATTCCAGAGATTCGTGAGTGACCTCAACGTCAAGACTTACAATTGACTTCAGTAAATTTAGGTATAAACCTACCGGTATTGTGAACACACATACAACTGTGCAGTTCGAATGCTCACAAAGTGCGAAAGTATACCTCATCCGACGATCAGTTAAGACTATTCCTGTCCGAAAATACGATCGTACAATAGAAGACGTGGAATTCAATACAAATATTGTTACGGGCAAACAAGAGTGTGACAAGATGCATGAGCTCAATTACTGAGCGAAATATTTAGGCCAACATTCGCCTGTTCTGCGAAACAGTAAAGTCGATGACAGACATCACACGATTTTCTTGATCCGACACTCCTTGAAAGTCGCGCTAAGACCCTTGGACAGGCCAATACAATTATCCTTATTCTCATGGCTTATCAAGTAGACACAGCTCCCAGTTCCCAGTTCCCATAATCCTTATGTTGACCTTTCATTTCTGAATGTCACGCAGTTGGTGTTACTCGCGGCTTTGCAAAGAATGCGCTGCGAACGGAAGAATTAACGCGATACGTAGTTCATGGTGCAAGAAAACCATATCCAAGGTACATTTGTAAGTTTCAATACTCACATAAATAGTCAAATAGTATGGGATCCAAGCACATTTTTTATTTGTAAGATTTGACCGAATTTCAAACCCTTGCATTGGCCAACATCCACCCCTCTTCAGAGGAGAATGATATTTGCGTGGGTCAACTTACAGGACTATCCACCAGCAGGTGGGTTGTCCGAACAGGTTAGCAATTCAGAAAACATTGTCTCTAAGTTTTACATAAGTTCTTCGTCTTCCTGCCATTGGTTCTACCTCTCCTGGGTCTCTTCCAAGTGTTCCCATCATACTAAAGTTCCATTTAAAAACTAAGCGCATGCGGATGGTGTTACATTCTCTTGACAATTTATAGCGGGGCGCTTCATTGAATATACGTTAAATCCCTTGTGGTCAAACATCAGGTCACTTTGCAAAACGATGTTTTTCTTCACAGACATCACGCGTCTTCATTTGATGATTTAAAGCAAATCCGTGTTGAGTCGCTTATCAATCCTCACGCGAAAGAATCTAGAAAAGGACATATTCTTGTCCGCAGAGTAAAGTGAGTGGACGAAAGAGACACTATAAAGAGATTAAATTAATACAAGACCCCTTTGTGGTTAGAATTTTATCAAAACCATTGGAATATGATATTAAATGGTGTCTCGGGAAAAAGGTTGAACGTGTGGCGACCACACTCATTTGTACGGCTGAAACGTGCAAGGATACAAACACAGTGATCTCCCGAATTTCTCGGTAATCATACTATAATTGCTCCAGCACACGCGACTGATTGACACATCATGCCTAATTTATACACAGTGCTTTGAACGGCAGTCATTCGTTATTTCCTGACTGTTTTACCTAACGAAACTCTATCAAATGTCTCCGTTTTACAATATCTCCTTTGTTATTTTTCAGATAGGAACTTTGCGACTTAGCTCGACAAGCACTTATTCCGGGTCGACGTGCATTGAGAACAGGTCCCGCATTGGTATAGATGATTACGTCATTGAATGTCACTTCAGAACAGTGAAAAAGGTTGAGTACGCAATGCACGAAATGCAGGATGACTTAGTGACAGCCGTGACAGAGAAGATAACTTGAGTGCATTTTAGTAAGAGAACATTGAATTGTTTGATCTGCTCTAAGCATACGATAATCAGAGCAGATAGAAACAATCTAAAATGAAATGACACCAAAGTTTGACCGGTTTTTCGCACGACCTTAAATCCAAGAATTATATATGAGCGAAATTCTGGAGTATACCCACCGAATCAAGCTACCGATCGAGGACATAATGGCCCGATACGAGTCCCAGTGCGTACCTAGAATGCTATGATTATAGAAACCCATACTTCAGTAATGTTTATCCTCTGAAAGACATCGCTCTAACGAAAAGCACCCTCTCTTGTCAGTCATGTTCGAGCTTAAGTAAAGCGCTACTGATGTGTATCCTCCATCTCTCAGTTGGTGATTCCGAGAGCGAGTCTTCCTATGCCCATCTTTCAGTCATTGGAACCATATCAGGATATCATAGGCTTCGACTGGCTACTCTGGCAACAACTTTCCACACAGAAGTTTCCTATATCGCGTATATTTTATTTTTCTCATAGGCTAATTATGGATCAGTAAATATCAGCGGGGAGAAAGGCGCCTTCGAAAAAAGACCAAGCATCCAACGACAATAGACCTATTTTGAACAATTGGACACGAAAGTAAACATCTCACCTGCGCAGAATATGGGAGATCTTATATCCTCAAGTGAACCTCTTTTATTATCTGGAATAAACGAGCATACACGGCCGGATGGTGCAGCAAGTTTTAACTCAGCGTCGGCTGGGTTGCGGTGGAGAAGCATTAGACTGGTTCGATATTACTCGGACATGTAGTCAGTAGTGTTCGTCACTGCATCACTAAATCGTTCGCATGGCCTTTTAAAGTGCAGCTAGACATATACGTTTGTTCGCTTTGTGTTCAGTCATACCGAGAGAAACTTTGACGAAAGCTGTCCAAAAAGGAATGTTCACATATTCGTTTTGGCTTAAACTGGCTTTTTTGGTAAGTGGAATAATATGGTCTTTGAACCATTCAACAGAGGATGCCTGTGGACCGTATTGCGGAAATGAATTGGCATAAAAAATCCAAAATCTTGTGGAAAAGTTTTATGTTTTATATTCCACGGAACACATCATATTTGAGTCTAGGATTTTAATCACTTCGATTGCATCTGTTACGCAGCGAGGCTTGAGGGGCTTCCGTATAGGGTCTAGTGAGTTTGTTTACGGTAAGCTGAATGATGTGTCGCCGGGATTGGGCATGCCAACGTACGGGACTTATGTAGATAGCGAGAGTCTCTCAATCATGTAGTTGGTCTGTCCGTCGGTTTGACTTTCATACAATGAGCGCCTCTCCCCAAAACATGTCTTATCAGTGAAATTTTGTTGTCCTGATTGAAGTTCGAGTGTCTCGTTCTCATTGGCAAGGCTTTCATGATGAATGCCATCAAGGTTACGCTAAGAATGCATATTTAGCATATATTTTGAAGAACTACGATTTCGTAGGTGGAAATAGGTTTTTATCGGTTAGAAATTTAGTGTAGAAGCTCAGAATCGGTGCAGACTAACAAGCTGATTTCCCTGCACAAGCGGACAGCCTTGCACGCTAGCAAACGATACGTCATCATCAGTCTGGAGAATGTGAACTTGACCTAAGTTAAACACTATTAATGTGGGACGGCAAAAGGCTTCTTCTAACCCAAGTCAATTGAAAGAGAGTGCGAAGTGGATTAGAAACCATGCTGACCGGACTGTCGTCACATGCATTTTGAATAGACTTGCGAACTCTCAGAACTACTGGTGTTCCCATCATCTGTGGGATCACATTTAACCCCTAACCGTAGATTCTGTTTGGAACAAGAAAGATAAACCGTCTACACCTTTATATCTACACACTATCGACGCTTTCCAAGACTTGATCAGAACTAATAAGATTTCGAGGATAAGCTCAGTGTCAGAATATGTCGAATGAATGAAGGAGACGCTGTCAGCTATCTTCAATCGCAAGTTGACAGTACGGTAATTGGGGCCAGGGAGTGAAAATCCGGGGAGATTGACGAAACCATATACCACAGAAGAGCTCTGAGAAAAAAGTAAAACGAACGAATTCCGAAATAGGTTAACTGACGCTTCTTATTATGTGCAGTGGGAAACCTCTATATCAGAATGTGTTGTGCATTTTACTTGAGGTGTTGTGTAATCTTTGATAGTGGTTTTCGCAATAATTGTTGGGATCTATTTGCTCAGCCTTAAGACATGTGAATGGACTAGTTGTAGCGTGAAACCGCATGTGAGTCTTTGTCCTGAATAACGAAAAGTTCGTTATTTCAGAACGTGCCTGTTGACCACGATCCGCGTCCGAATGTTAAATCTAATTCTCCCGTTCCCCAGTTTACAAGGAGTATTTGCAGAAAGTGAGGCACGCCAAGCTCACTAGTGAGAGTTACTAACAAGCGGTTGATCGTTTGAACACTTGCTTCAAATAGGGAGAACACTGGACTCAAGTTTCACACTTATAGAACTCATCAGAAATGGATTATATCACTTCGCTAATGCAAGCTGAATGCACCTGCATTATACTACGTCTGCGTCCATGCTCAGACACCGTGATTGGTGTGGCCCAGGTTATGGGGAAGGCTCGCTTTCAGTAAAGCGGGATACATTAGATGGGACAGAATGCTGGTGTAACACTTGGTGGACAGGCCTTATATATGGGAGTTATCGTGACAATTCTCATTCCATCGGCAGCACATAATTTTTCTCACGTAATTCTGAACAGTTGTTGCAGGAATATATAGGCTTTTAGGGTAGGGCCATTCACAAACAAGAATGATATAAAGTCAGTTTTCCGTCTTCTTGAAACAGATTTTCCTCAGTCAAGAGGATACCGATTTTACGGGTAGTGCTGTAGATTCACCCTTTGGTGTTATGAAGTGTGTCCATGGGAGCAGATAGCATCGTAACCCTTTGGTGACGTGCCTTACTGAGTTCTTTGAAATCGACTACCCTTGCGGTCCGTTGATTTGGGACTTCCTGTTACCTACCGTTACTTAAAAGAAATTTTTTAGATGGCATCCACAAGGTGGACGCGAGACGAGTTTTTCCCCAACATATTGAAACAACACCCCTATTTGGTTAAAGTACCTCTTTGGTTTATCCTAAAAAACTGCTGGCTTCTCATCTGTCCGAGTATCGTACATAAGTTCAAACGTGTATTTTTCTTCATGCGCTTCACGTAACTTACCCTAACGCTCATTCTAATAATTCGAATGACTATCGCAATAGACAATTTAGTGCAGTTACCCGACAACCGACGTGATGTAAACAGCACATGCACGTTTGTTCACTGCTGGGCGGGTGGTCAAGTTTGGATATTATTCCTCCACTGCTTCGTCTGGTCGACTAGACCCATACTTCCAGTGGAACGAAACGGCAGACATGCACGTGCTGTGTCCGCTTGGAACGTGTCAATACGAATGACTAACCTCCTTGTATTCGTCGCATTCACAACCGGCTCTACGCCAGATTCTTTACTCTGTGCTGGCTACGCTGTACAAGCTCCATTATTCACACCAGTGGATATGTACGCACAGTCGATATGCCAATAATGGGGAGAGACCTACCACCGCAGAACTAAAACTGTATGTCTTGAGCAACATGCCGTTAAGTATATAGACATTTGATATGAAGCTCATTCAATGAAAATGCTTTTCATCACTGTTCTGTGAAGGTAAACAAGTAGTTGGAATGAATAGGTTGGTTGTTTCAGGGGTAAGAGAGAAGTGTTTGGATCAGTCACTATTCGTCATTAAAAGCAAACCAAATGCAACCTAGAATCAGCATAAAATTTCACATCGGAAAAGTACACGCAAGTTAGAACAAAGCAAGAATTAAATAGGCATAGTAAATCATTATGTCTTGCGTCAAACTGACATAAAACAACGGAAAATGAAGCTTTAATCGGAACACCAAACCACCCGAATTAGCCGCTTTCTTCTGCGTGCAAATCGTGGATGATTTTTAGTGTCAGCCGATAAGCAGAGGGCCCCAAGCGTGTCCTTTATCGACCTACTTGGAGCCCATTGCGGCAAGAAGTTACGCACTGGACAATTTCTTATTTGCCTTCCTTTGTGCCGCCATTAGCAACTGCAATGACATCTGCTTGCAATGCGGAGGTGCGGTATCCTGATGCACGTTGTTACCCTACTAAGAGACCCTCATTGAGATTGAAATACCTCAGTGGTTAACGTGAGAGCTTACTGACCGGCAGGTCCTGAGTTGAACCGAAACCCGACAGCTCGACTGCTTTTGTCTAGGCTTGGGCAACCCTTCTGTCACGGCAGTTAGACACCAAAGGGATGTGACAACTGAACGATTACGTTGACAATGATTACGATTTATTTTGTGAGCCATCCAAATCTGTACAATGCATGAACAGATGAGACAGTGATTAACTCCATGTTCCTTGTACTTCTGTCACGGCAGTTAGACACCGAAGGGATGT